TTTTGAAATATTGTACTATTTAACATTCAAGAAAATGTACAAGTGTGGTCTTTTAAATTTACTTTGCGTTTACTGTTTAAGATTGAATTGAAAGTGATCCCTACAAAAGCTATTCAGATATGATAATATTTTGGCATGTAGACCCGTTGCTAGGCAATGACCGCGAAACAAACAACTAGATAACGGCCGTTACTAGGCAGCGGCACGTAAACAGCAACAGAGAAAAGATGTTTTCTGTGTACGTGCCAAGATACAAGTAGGACAGTCAGGAGAAGTGAGTTCAGTCAGTCAGTGGAGTGAAGTCGGTTGGTGAGTTAGTGAGTTAATAGATAACCACTGGAGTTCAGTCGTTGTGATCTGTTGCTGTACGAAGCTGGTTGCTGAGGCCGGGGATAGTTCAGGAACCCAGAAGGAGGGGAATATCCGCCCGCTGGAAGCCGCTACAAAGCAACAGCTAATGGAGATTGTAACAGACTGAGAACACCAGTCTGTGTGCGCCAGTGATTTGTAAAGCGTAGTCACAAGTTGTGTTAATATGTTCACTAAACCTAATTACCAATCCAATCCCCGTCCATAGTCATTCATACACGTGACAATTGTACACATTTTGACTTACCCCTAAAAGCCGGAATATCGAAATCAAAGCGGACGTCCATTGCTAGATAACGGATCGGTAGGCACGTTTCTGCTACAGTAAGAGCAGGTGACAATTGCAAGCACGTGTTCGTGACAACGGCTAGGTAAACGTTTATTCTCACAGCAAGGGTCGTTTTCCTGACAACGAAGGGATGAACCTTTCGACTCAGTGTCCCTAGTCGGTACGCCAAGCAGATATGAAACAGAATGCATTCGTGAGCAGAGTTCAGAAGTCAGAAGCGAGAGAAGAAGCAAAACTCGAGAAGCGAGAATTCTGGCACAGAAGTGAAGTATAGAACATGCAGACAAAAGTGAGGGATTCGGCATCCAGAAATAGTTGAATGTATGAATAATAACTGACTGTAATTGTGTTAGTAATATCAGATAGATTTAATCGTGAAATGCAGAATCCGCAATTATTAGTCACGCGCACCCCCTTACACGTAACAATATATCAGGAAATTTGCCCAGACGTAAGACACAAAAACTGATAATGAATCTCTTTCCAGATCTGATCCATGTAAATGCATCACACATGCTTCCTCGTATGACTCTGACCGTCACTACGCTATCGTGGCAAATAATTCGATTGTTTTTCTGTAGACCATTGTCAGTTTATGAGAACCAAACAACAGTGCTGCCCGTCAGACCCGTACCTTAGGCTGGTGTTCGGTGGGCCATCGTTGGTTGTTGAATTCCGAACAGCAGTTAAATCCATCTGTCGAGTAAAGCTTGCTTCGATGCATTTGGCATTTCTCATTTGGGCCTCTAGTACCCGTAGCTTTATTTGCAAGCTTTTATATTCTCCCTAACGGGGCCTCTGACATCACAAAATTTTGGGCTAAGCAAGCGTCACAGTTTAGAAATTTATAATTTTCGCACAAGAGAACAACAATTAACCAAATATGGGGGCAACATATCGGTCCGTCATATGGGCCTATCCAATAGTCTATAACTGTGCAGTGTAATTACGTATTTTTCCTCGCTAATCTGAATTGTTTTAGGCTCAACTATACGGGTTCAGCGCGGAGTTTACTTACAAATTTCGAGGTAGCCTACAAATTGTTATTATTATTATTATTATGTAAACAGACAGATATATGCAGACACATTATAGGACGGAGCGGACAATCAGAAAACTCCCAGAGCCTCAGACCTTAATATAATATCATGGGTGCCGTGGGACTCGGAACCAAGAATCACTTTGCTGGCGAGACCAGCAGCATTTTAGCAGCCAGCCACTCAGTCACTCAGGCTCTTTAACTCCTTAGTCACTCCCCAGCAGTGGTGGAGTGACCAGTATTAGTTAGACCCCTCCTGTCGTCGAAGAGGAGACCTCGCTTCAAAACACTTAAAAGCCTGGAAAGAACAAAAATACACGTATGATCATGGACCAGGACGAGGCCTGATAGCAGGAAGGACTGTGGTGGCGAGGGCCAGCAGTAGATTACTGGACTTGTCTGAAGACACAATGGGTTTTAAAGGCTACAAGAGCATTTCAATATTGTTGCCAAATGTGACTGGGCAGACATCCAAGCAATAATCAATACGATTTTTGACATGACGCAATATGTAAAGCATGTTGTGCGTGATGGATTCAGTAGTAGTCATCTATCAGCTCCTTATAGTTCTTTGCAGGAGTGGCTGAAACAAAGTCTGACACTGTCTACACAATGATCCACTTGTATAAAGCCTGTCCGGAGGACAAACTCCGGTGCTTGCCACTTCTCGACAGTCCCATAGGTCTGGAAATTATAAACGTACAATTTTTCTCAGAGAACAACGTCAGTACAGTTGTATACCTTCATATCCTCCTAGATTTCCTAATCCCAGAAATATAATATCAAAATCAAAGAAGGAGTCAAAATCCTTTACAGCTTCCTTCCTTCAATTCCCGTTGATTATTTTCTAAATTTCTCTTTGCTTTAACATGAACAAAGACAGTAGAGAAAAAAGCAACGTTGTTCCTATGCTTAACTAATTAACACCACCCCATGAAGGCGTATGGGGGACTGGATAGATAGATCCACATTTTATTGACCTCGGTACTAGCTGGAGATGAGTGGTCAGCTTCACGCCCCGGCCGCTTAACCCCTCGGGAAAGAGTCCCCAGTACCCATTGTATAGGAGGTTGGGTGGGTCCCAGATCCGGTCTGGACGACGTGGAGAAGAGAAAATTCTTCATCCTACCGGGACTCGAACTCCGACCCTCGATTATCAAGCCCGTACCCAGTCGCTATACCGACTGCGCTATCCCGGGTCACACAGATAATTGATACACAGTAAAATTAGCATGAGTGTCACCCTCAGTATATGTTCTAGCATAAGGCGGAAGATTCAATTTCCCACTCATACAAAATAGGAGGTAAGATTTTTAGTTGTGTACATTTTAACCATTACATTTTTAAACAGCAGGCAGGAAGTCAAGAGATTCTGAACTGTAATGAAAAGTCATACTTAAAAAAATTGGTTAAAAGTTAAACTCGAATCGTAACAACCAGCAAGGCGTAAAATAAGCTGTGCAATGCATGGTATATATTCGTGGAAACGGTCGTATTTACGACTGTCTTGTGTGGTCTAGTGCCTGGTCATTTCGAAACCACACGTGCCTCATACATCATCAACATTGTTAATGGCTCCTGTGTTTTATGTGCTCTTGATTGGGTTTATATTTTTTGGCCTTACTCTCTGACTACTTTAGAGCTGTAATAAAGTCATGCAGAATGGCAACCACCCGATATTTGACTTAGATACTAAATACGAGTTATGGGCGTATCTTTAAAAACTGTATGGTCTTAAAATGTGCGTCAATAATGTCAAACGTTAATGGTCTACTTCTCTCTCTCGCTCTAAAACCCTTTGGACCTTGGCCGCTATTTCAGTTTCTTAATTCTATACACAATCGATAGGACTCCTTGGACAGGGGATCAGCCCGCCGCAAGACCGGTACCTACACACAGAATAACACAAACAGGAAACAAAATCACACAGACATCCATGCATCGAGTGGAATTCGAACCCACGATCCCAGCGTTCGAGCGAGCGAAGATGGTTGATGCCTTAGACCGTGCGGCCAGTGTGATCGGCGATGGTCTACTTACAGAATGCAAGCCTTCACTAAACAAATCTGATGGAAGATGATCGCTTGGGACACGAGGATTTTCTTATTTATGGTTTAATTAATCAGACAGTATATCATATATCATAGCTTGCAATTTTGGGATGATTAATAAATGAGAAATTGGGAATAGTGTGGAATTTGTCGTGGCCTGTCCAATTGTACTGTTCCAGCAGTCGCCTGGAGTTACTGAGGAAACCCACAAAAAACCTTATTGAGGATACTCGGCGTCCCTGCAGAAATTAGAACTGGTGATCTCCTGGATACAAATTATAACCGTTACCAGCTGATCCAACTTGTGCGGGGTTTTGTGAATTTTATGAACTTACACTTCTCATGCCGGTTCGGTGACAAAGTTTTGTATTCCGTAAGAAAACTTGATGCCTTGAAAGAGTTAAGTACTTAAACTTGGTTAAAACTAATTCCAATTATTGCCGATGTTTGTTAAAATTAGTTGAAACTAATTCCTTTTTCAATTCATATTCCGTGTTTACAGCATTCCATGGCTTCTTGGGTTGTGGTCATATGATACGAGGGGTTTTGCTATGGCTTAGAGCGGTTATGTTGTGTGTGAGTCAGTATTCAGTACGGCGTGGTATTGTGTGACTTCCGTGGATGGTTGAATTTTAGAACAATGAATTAGGAAAAGCAATACACTAATAAGTAAAAGTATCAACCTGATGATGAACTTGTACGGCCGAAACATGTCGTAGAAGTAACATTTATGAAAAAATTGACAATGTAGAACACCAACAGTCTGCGAGCATGGCAAGTAATGTACCTTCAAGACTGCTCCTGCAAATTACGAAATTGTCAAGAAATGCAACAGTGTGCTGAAATGTAGTACTGTGAAGCGTTACTTTTTCCTAAAATGCTAATATAGTTTTATTTAGGCTACTGAGTCACAACGAATTCGGTATGAGTCTACGACTACAGGTGTGAGGATCATATATGGCAGTATTCTACGCTGCTTAGTTATTTGTGTATTGCTTTCCTCGTTGTCCTGAAAGGGAAGTAACTGAAAAAAAAGTTAAGTTGGAAATTACAGACCCTGCTGTACCCGATTAACAAGAAAGTAGGTGCGTAGAACTCCTTTAGGAAAAACATTGTTACTGACGGTACTAAACGCAGGTAGAATGAACACACGAGACAACGTGAAGTCACGATTGGAACGAGAGAAAAGGAAAGAAGCAACAAAGCTTCGCAAATAACCGAGCTAGACCAACCAGTCACCGTCAAGCTGTATTAGGAGGCGCACGGATAACTGGAGACACGCAGACTGTGTGTGTGCATGAGTGTGCATGCGACGCTGTGTAAGTTGAGTGCACGTGGGGGTAGTGTGTAGACATAAACTGTAAATTACTGAGTCCGGAGCGAGCGTGGGTTGCTGCAGATAATGTAAAACACACATCACTGCGGTGCAAGAAATAAAGTGCATTAGTTGCGGCAGGGTTGTGTGCAAAGCTGAGGTTTCCTGTTGTTTTGTGATAACTAGGCTTCTGTGCTGTTTGAATCTGACATCAAAATGTGGCATTATAGTTATTCTGTCACCGAATATTCCACTTTTAGGTTATGTTATTGAGATCATGAGGCATTTAACTACAAGAACAATATGCATTGTGTGCCGTCCATAATGTTTATCCTTAAATATATGTAATCTACACTTGCAAATAACCACAAAGTTAGCGGTATAATACTGCGAAGGTAGGAGGGAGTTGGGAAATGGACACAGGTAGTGCAAATTCGAGTTTAAATTTGGATCCATCAGTGTGTTTTATGTTTTTCCTTAATTGTGATTCGTTCCTGTTACTGTTTTATTTAGTTTAGTGCTTTTTGCAAAAGTGTTACTTATTAATTAATGTGGACTCGATAAATGAAAGAAGAACCAGAAATTGAAATTCACAGTGACAAAGCAAACGTGAAGTGACGGCAGCTGATTTTATACTATTCAGGACACTCGTGGAATTTTCAGCAGACAACAGTTGACTGAATCTCCCTCGGTAAGTTGGAACGATTATGTTTATACATTCTGTGCCAAGAAATGATGTAGAATATGATGTGACGTACTATAGGTCAGGGTTTTAAACAGGTTATTCTCGACTTCGTTTCAACATAAATTTTGCTTTATGGTTCAAGACGTGTGTAAGCCTATTTGTCCTGAACATAATATAAACAGCAATCAAAATGTAATTCTTCAGAATTTAGACTGCCAGCGACTGTTGATGTCAGTTAATATTAAAACAAAATGACGGAATGTTTTTAAATAAGGAAGAACAAAGCCCAATTCATGCTATTGTTGCATGAATTTCTTGTTTCTCACGCGCATGCTATTTGCCTTTCCTATCTTTGATTTCAGCACCGTAATGTGTGAATAGTGAACGCTACTCGTAATAAAACTCCTCGTTAGGCATTTGCAGCTTTCGTAGCTCTTCTGTTATTTCATACGCTGTTCTGAAACATGTAACATGGCCATACTTTTATTTATTTATCCTCCATTCCTCCCCATTAATCGTTCCTAGCTCAGAGTACAGTGATGCAGTCCACAAGTTGACTTGGGTACTCAGTCTCGGCCAAGATACAGCGACATACCAGGGGATGTATTTCTTTTGCCCCATTAAAATAGTAGTGTGGGCACATTTTGACTTCCTATTAGCAAACCAAAATAAAAAGAATCGCTAGTGAGAATTTATCTGATTATTACGTTGACATCAGTATGTGTCATATTTTCGCACTTTTGACTTAAAACTAGAACATTTGTAGATGCAAGTACTGCATTATATTTTAATGTTTTGAATTCTTCGTTAAAACTAATAGCTTAAAATCAGCAGCTTTGATTCAGATTAATAGCATAATAATTCTTAAACGAACTCCGTGGAATAGATCCTTAAGGAGTTGGATATCTGGTTCAGATATCTTTAGAGTTGTACGAAACCAAGACTTAATTTCCGTGTATCATAACTCGACACAAGTTCCTACCTAATCAGTTTTTTTGTTGCTAGTGGGGTGGGACTAAGCCCCTTGTACTGCGGCCACTTCTGGCCTATTGTACCAGCCCCAGATGATAGGTGAGGGTGATTGTGGAGCAGTTGGTGGAGTGAAGATTGGCAGGGGAAACCGAAGGACTCGGAGAAAACCTGCCACAGCGCCACTTTGTCCACCACAAATCCCACTTGACCAGACCCGGAATCGAACCCGGGCCGCGTGGGTGGGAAGCCAGCGACTAACCGCTTGAGCTATGGCACGGCCAACCTAATCAGTTAGTTGTATACAGTCTACACACTCCCAAAAAATATCCCAAAGATCCATTTTAATATTATTCTTCCATCTACGTTTAGATGTTCCAGCTGGGTTCTTTCCTTCAGGATTTCCCATTAAAGATGTCCCGGCATTAATATTTATTATAATGGATGCTACACGCCTGACCCAGCTCATCCTCGATTCGATCATTCTAGCAATACAAATTATGAAGCTTCTCCTCGTGTAATTTTCTCCAGGCTTCTCTTACGTCTGCCATCTTAGGTCAAAATATTTTGCTCGGCATGCTCTTCTCACTCTCAGCCTGTATTTTTCTCGTAATATGTGGGATTGTGTTTCACATACAAAACAAAGAGACAACAGTATTTTAATCTTTGCATTTTTAAATAGCAGATGGAAAGACAAAAGATTCAGAACTCAAATTTAGCATGCCCTACCCGAATCCAGCTTTCTCTTAATGTTTGTATTGATGTAGTTCTGTTTCCTTTGTGTCTTTCGCAAACACATGAACTTAGCCACATTTTCGAAATATTTGTCTGTTATCTGTATGTTAAAATTTTGCTTTGTATTTTGGTAACGAGACATCAGTATAAAAGCAAAAAAGGTAAAGGTATCCCTGTAACAGGCCGTGGAGGCCCATGAGGTTATGAGATGTTGAGGTTCCCACATTTTCTAGACAGTCGGTTCATAGATGGCGGCAAGGTTGTCAGCCTTACGCGCCAAGTTGTCAGCCTTACGCTCCAGCTGCCTCTTACCCCCAAGAATATTCCTGTTACTCATTTCTGTTAGAGGCTGAGTAGACCCCAGGGCCATATTTCGGGTGGAAGGATTAGGTCAATTGAAAAAATCCACCTCATCGGGATTTGATCTCGCGACCTCCCGGCCTGTAGCATAGAGGCAGCAGTGTATATTTAATTGCATTACGATTTTTTCCATGCTTGCCTCATTACTAGAATCCACCAGCGCTTATGTGTTACTCTTTATGGTGTTTATGTTACACAACAATACTATCACCACTGACCAGATGTGTTTTTTTAATTTGTTATTCTAGAACGCGCTCAGTGTTGAGAATATTAACATAAACATCGAGACGAGAAGCTGATGTATCCCATTCACTATGAGTCTGCTGGTTTCTTCGAACTTCAATGCCGTATTCTAAGGAAAACTTGAGAAAAATTGCGACAAATATTTCATTTTTACAAATCACTCCGAGTTGTAATCGTATCAGACAAATTTTTCCTTAAGCGGTCTTTATTGTTTGTTTCATTGAATACAGTTTATTTAGCCTAACTTGTTTAATGATTATACATAAAATAGTCTGTATAGCGACTGACTACAGGCTGGACGACTGAGAGATCGGTGTTCGATTCCAGGTAGGGTCAAGGATTTTCTCTTCTCCACGTCGTCAAGATCGGCTCTGGGGCCCACCCAACCTCCTATCAAATGGGTACCGGGGACTCTTCACCCGGGGTTAAAGCGGCCAAGTCGTGACCTGACCACTCACCTCCAGCTATTGCCTAGGTCAAGAAAATATGGATCTACATAGCCATTCCCCCATACGCCTTCTTGGTGCAGTCCTTAATTAGTTACGCACAGGGACACCTCTACCACTTACTAACTTACTTATGGAGCTGAGCCCTTCTTGAGGAGAAGCCAAATCTGCAGCTACTCAAGAATTTCACAGCATTTTATGGAACCCGAAGGTTCATTACCGTGTTCACAAGAGCCCTCCACTCTTCCCTATCCTGAGCCAGCTCAATCCAATTCATACTATCCCATCCTGTCTCTCTAAGATGCATTTAATATTGTCCACTCACATACGCCTTGGTCTTCCCAGTCGTCTCTTTCCTTCTGGCTTTCCCACCAATATCCTATAAGCATTCCTCTCCTTCCCCATTCGTGCTACATGCCCTGTCCATCTGATCCTCCTTGACATGATCATTCGAATTAAACTTGGAGAAGAGTACAAGTTATGAAGCTCCTCATTATGCAGTTTTCTCCAACCTTTACCTTTGCCACACTCAATAAAAATATTATGCATTATTTGTCCTCTGAGTCATAGGCTCTCTTGAAGTACAGGAAAATTGATGTACTATCCCATTGTACTAGCTTTCTTTCTTTAATATTTGACAAACATTCAGGCACTAATGGCTCAGCTCTGTTTGTTTGTAGGTAGGCGGAAGGAAGACTTTTTTTTATATATCTCCTATTTTATTTGCAATCCGTAAAAGTTACAATAAGCAAACGGTGGGATCATATAATATTGGCTTGTAGGAGGCTACTCATTAGTAGACGCCTTTCATATAATAATCAATACAGATTAGTTGTGTTTGCAGGAGTAGAACTTACATCTACCTTACATCTATAACCTTAATCTAGCTTACATACTAAATATAATGCCTAGAATCTGCCCGGCAGAGCATTTGGCGTGAAGCATTTAAGTCTTCTGTTCCGAATCGGCTGGCTCATGAGGTCTGTTGCTAGTGCGTTTGGATGCTTGTTAAGTCTGTTACTATATTCAACACTAAGTTTATTTTATTTCTTCTTTGACTGTAGTCATACCAAGGTCATTCCGGATGACTTTGTTGGGCACATACCAGGGGGCGTTGGTTATCATGCGAAGTACCTTTGACTGGTAGCGTTCTAGTATTTCGATGTTTCAGTTTCAGCTCGTTCCCCACAGTTGGATTCCATACGTCCAGATGGGCTTCAGTATGATTTTGTAAACCAGTAGTTTGTTGTCAAGTGTCAGCTTGGAGGGAAAGGAAGACGTCACGACACATTTTACAGTGCAATAAACCCTCGTTGTAAAGGACTAATGGGGTCGTGGGGGGGGGGCATGGTATCCGTTATCGCTGATGTCCGCTATAATCGAGTGAAAGGGTGTTCACGGAAGTACATTATGGGGTACAGAGCCATTGCACGCAATAAACATAGAAGCACACAGTGTGATCTTAGAAGGTTTTCATATTGGGGTTCCTTTTTGCTTTAAATAATAGTCTAACTACAAAACCTTCTTAGTGCCTCAATATCTAAAAAAAAAAAAATTAAAGCTGTACGCAGCGAAGTTTGTCCATTATATCCGAAATCCGTTATCTCCGGATCCGTTATGACGAGAGTTTACTGTGTTTGCAGGCACTGGCCTGGGGAGACCAAGAAAGGAAATTGTCTCAGTAGTTGCAGCTTTCTCCGGCTGTGCTGTTCGGATGGCCTTGAAGTACCTTCAGCGGTTACATATCTCCCGCACGTATCCACACACACACTCTTGAGTGCTACAGCAGGTTATCAACCTGGAGAACGTAAGCAGTTTGTCAGGGGAACGGTTTCGCAAAGACAAATTTTATTTTTGAAATTTACAGCATCAACAAACAAGCCAAGTGCAGTATTTCCCTGTTCAGCTTCGTCCATGACAACGATTCTGTGGGGTGGAGTGTCGCGTGTTGGCTGGAGAGAGATGAGGATCTGGGGATTGACACGGGGATGTGATTAAGAGTCCTGTTTTGTATTCGTGACACCACGTTTGGATGGAGGCTGTAGGTGCTTCCAAACCTTTGGTACCTGTCCACCAAACTATAGCAGGGCCCTTATTGAGAGACTAACAGTCTCGTGGCTAATCATAAAATTATGAATACGTGAACGCATATTATGTGGCTGCGTGTATGTGTATGTATAAACAATAAGGACACCAGAGTCAAGAGTCAGAGTCAGATTTAATGTACGACTGTCGGTTTACCACAAATCAGTT